ATTACATTTTATAATATTATAAACAGTAAGATTTTTTTAACAATTAAGTTTTTGGCAGTAAAAAGTAATAAAACAAATACCTCCCAACTCCTGTTGCAGCCCTTGAGCCTGTCGAATAAGGAATTTGATAGGAATCTGATCCATTAAAGAAGATGAATATGATTTGGGCTTTCTTTGCATGGCAGCTGTCAGTCAAAGATAAAAGGTATAAAGAGTCAGAAACAATAGTAATCTTAACCTTCAACCCAAATGGGAACAAAAACAATGTCAAGTTACTTTCAATTTACTTTATCTATGAATATAGCACATAAAGGATGAAGAATCACTACCAAAATAGTGGCTACACAAGAAAAGCAAGAATATATCTAAGGGCGAGATCTTGAAAATGCCCTGAAATTGAAACTAATGAAGAGAAAAATCATAAAATAGGTGAGAAAAGCTATGTGCAGAAGTGCCCTACACTAAAACAACCAACAAGTGAGTCAAAACTTTCCCAAATCTAATTAGGAAGATCAAATGTAGTCATGAACACATGGCTTAAAACTTCATGACTTCAATATAACTTATGAAAAGGAGCCTTAATTTAATCATATGATATACAATAGTGGTGACTGACTCTTTTTAAAGGAAGTTAGGCAATGAGAATTTGACTTCCTTCTCTCATAACTCCTGCCTTCAGCCAGCCACGTCCATCCTTTTTTTTTCCTGACAAGTCTATCTTAATTTCTGTTCTTTTCCTGCTATCCTAATTCAGTGCCTACTTATTCTCTGTTTAAATATCTTTTATGGCCCACTTTCCTTGCCTCTAATTTCTCATCTCTTTAATTCATCCTTCACCCTGAAGTCATAGTCCTCTTATTTAAATACAGATTTAGCCACTTTCAGTGGATTCCTAGATTACACAGAGTAAAGGTCCTTGTCAATCAACACTATCTTTCCCTGTCTTGTTTCTACCATATTGTATAATATATGCCTGGCACCATAATCTCATTTGAGGTACTCTGCTTGTGTACCACAGAAATATATGAGACTCTCAATCAGAGTGTTTATAGGTTAAAAAAGCATATTCGATATACTTATTCTTTTCAAACCACAAACACTAAAGTTCAACAATGTATTAATATTTTGATTGAGGACAAGAAGAATTATATAAGTGCAAGTGTTAGAATAAAGGCTAAGTAAGAATCACTATCTATGTAGGCCACGTGCCTTTTGATTAGATATAATCCCCCTTTTAAATTAATAAATTAGCATCCTAGTTTTCCATATCAATCTTTTATGAACTGAGTAAGTATGCATCAGAAAGCAGTTAAAACAATAGGTATAGGTTCCAGTGACAGTCCCTGGGTCTAACACTTACTACTATCCTGTGCCTGGGGGTCCCCCCAATAAACTAAAAGATAACAACCATCTATCTCACAGAATTCTCATGAGGGTTTTTGTGAGTTAACATCTGTAAAGTATTTCAGTAGTGTCTAACACATAACAAGCACTCAAATGTTACCTAGTATTTTTAAGATCTAGAGTCCCCAAGATCAGCTCAGGGTAAAGTATGAATATTTAAGTTTCTGGACTTATGTCACTGAAGACAAATCCTGAATACATTTTAATGATACTATCAAAGAAGTAGCAGCCCATGAAGCCCCACTTAAAGCAACTGTTTCTCTTTAACATCTCTGTGAAATAAAACATCAAGGATATTCTTAATCCTTCGGTAAAAGACTAAATTATAATTATGAAAGGCCTATAGGAAGATCATTCGTCTTATACATATAACATGAGCCATCACTTTTCTAAATTTCTTCCAATGTATGGCTTTCAAAGGTTCAAAGCTAACATTAACCTCATTCTCAGCAAAACTGTAGAAATGTTTTGAATACTATTTACACCATCGCTTGTTTTTTGGGGTTTTTTTTGCCATTTTAATCCTTAAAAAGATGGAAAACTTCCCATTCATTTATGACATTAGCATAAACCTGATACCAAAGCCTGAAAGGAAAAAATAAAAAGAAAAGGAAAAAGGGTCAATTTCACTTGCTTAAACACAGATGAAAAAAATCTTAATTAAAAAACAAGCAAATCAAATCTACTGCCACACTAAAAGAATAATATACCAAGAGAAAGTACAGTCCATTCCAGGAATATAAAAACATTAATTATATAATGAATTATATAAATAGGCCAAATAAATTATCTCAATAACTGCCAAAATTGTTTATTTGATGAGTAAAAAAAAATTTTAAAACAATGATATCCTAACGATAAAAGAAATTCAGAGCTTGGCTAATCCAAACTAAATACCAATGCCTTTTCTGTAACCAGTGATTACTTGTTAGGAGAAAATTATACAGAACCTATATAAACTACAAAATTTTATTAATGGACATAAAAATAACTGGAATAAATTCAGTCATGAGTCAATAAATATCAAGTGCTTATAATGTACCAATAGTCTAGATGCTAGAGATATAGTAGTGAAAAAAAGGACAAAAATTAGCCTTCAAGAAGCTTACATTTTAGTTAAAATGTAAATGCTTAAAATTAATTTTTTAATAAATGTGGGGAGAACAAGTAACATTTCTATTACATGGATATATTGTAGTGGTGAAGTCTGGGCTTTTAGTGTACCCATCACCCAAACAGTGTGCATTGTACCCAAGAGGTACTTTTTCACCCCTCACACCTCCACCTTTCGGAGTCTCCAATGTCTATTATTCCTCTCTGCATGTCCACGTGAACCCATTCTTTAGCTCCCACTTATGAGTGAGAACACGCAGTATTTGACTTTCTGTTTCTGAGTTATTTCACTTATGATAATGGCCTCCGGTTCCATCCATGTTGCTACAAAAGACATATTTCATTCTTTTTATGGCTGAGTAGTATTCTATGGTATACATACACATACACATTTTCTTTATCCAATCATTCACTGATGGACATTTAGGTTGATTCCATGACTTTGCTACTGTGAATAGTGCTGCCATAAACATACAAGTACATGTGTCTTTTTTATGTAATAATTTTTTTTCCTTCATGTAGATATGAAGTACTGAGATTGCTGGATCGAATGGAAGGTCTATTTTTAGCTCTCAGAGAAATCCCCATACTGTTTTCCATAAAGGTTGTACCAATTTAAATTCCCACCAACAGTAAGTATATAAGAGTTCCCATTTCTCTGTATCCTAACATCTGTTGTTTACTTTTTAATAATAAAAATGTTCACAATTCAACTGAAAAGCAAAAATTATTTCACATTCTTAGATAGGAAGACTTAATACTGCAAAGATGTAAATTCTCTCCAAATTAATTTATAAGGGCAGGCACACTGGCCCAGCCTGTAACTGTAGCACTTTGGCCAAAGCAGGAGGATCATTTGAGGCCGGGAGTTTGAGACCAGCCTGAGCAATAGCAAGACCTCATCGCTATGAAAAAATTTAAAAATTAGCCAGGCACAGTGGTGCTCGCCCGTAGTCCTACCAACTTGGGAGGGTGAGGCAGGAGGATCACTTGAGCCTAGGAGTTTGAGGTTGCAGTGAGCTATGATCATGCCACTGCACTCTAGCCCCAGGCAACAAGACCCTGTCTCAAAAAAACAAAAATTATAAGCTTAACATAATTTTTATCAACATTCCAATATAATTTTCTTTTGTGGAACTAGACAAAATTATTATAAAGATCATGTGGAAGATTAAATATATGAGAGTACCAGAAATTCTGAATAAGAACAGTATTGGTAAAAGGTGCAGGAAATGTCAAACATAAAAAAGAAAATCCAGAAACAGACATAGATTTGTAATAAAATGTTTGTTTGGTTTTTTTTTTAAGAGACAGGGTCTCACTCTGTCACCCAGGCCGGAGTGCAGTGCCACGATCATAGCTCATTGTAAACTCAAAGTCCTGGGCTCAAGCAATCCTCCCACCTCAGCCACCAGAGTAGCTAGGACTACAAGCACAGGCCAGAATACTCAGCTAATTTCCTTTTTTACATTTTGTAGCGATGGGGTCTTACTATGTTGCCCAGGCTAGTCTCAAACTCCTGGCCTCAAGCAATCCTCCTACCTTGGCTTCCCAAAGTGCTGGGATTACAGACATGAGCCAGTGTGCTCAGCTGGGTTTATAATAAAATGTTGATATACATAAAGGCAATCCTCCAAAGCAATAGGAAAATGACAAGTATGTAATATTTACAAATAACCAATTATAAAAAAATAAAATTGGATCTATACCCCATACTTTACACCAAAATTAATTACAGGCATACTTAAATTTTTAAAATAAATTACTCTGGGAGGCTGAGGCGGGATGATCACTTGAGGCCAGGAAAGCAATATGGCAATTTATTTTTTAAATCTTATAATTTTTTGCAATCTTTAGTAGTTCTACATCTAGGAATGCACCCTAAGAAAAATAATCATGACTGTGTATAGAGTTAGCTCTATGAATATTTATTCCCCCACTATTTATTTCCTCACTGTTTATAATGGCAAAGTTTGGGAATAATATAAATGTCCAACAATAAGGAATTTGGTAAACAATGGTATAGATTTCCAATGAAATATTATGCAGCTACTGAAGATGTTTTAGAAAAAAAATTATTATAACAGGAAAATGTTTAAATATATTATTAAGTTAGAAAAAGCAGACTAAAAATATATATTATGATTTCAACTTTGTGAAAGCTATCATATATGCAAAGACTGTTTTCTAGCAAACTTCTAGCAGTAACTATCTCTGGGCAGTAGAATTATGGGTAGTTTATGCTTTGTTCTTTATATTGTTCTCATTTCCTAAATTTTCTCCAGTAAACACTTTTAATAAATGTTTTTATTTTAAAAACCAGCTGTTTTACATAAAGATATGTGAACAATCAGGTAGGTAATGAAATAAGTTTAATATTATTAAACTATTACTCTACAACATAGTCACGTAACTATTGGACCCCCTTTTATGTCAAAACTTGATTTAACTCTAGGTTTTACAGTTTTGAAACTTCAAACCTTCAAGAAATAATATCTGACAACATTTGCCTAAAAGTTTCTGCCTTTTAGCCAGGCAAAGTGGCGTGAACCTGTGGTCCCAGCTTCTCAGGAGGCTGAGGCGGGAGGATCATGTGAGGCCAGGAGTTTGAGGTTACAGTGAGCTATGATTGCACCACTGCACTCCAGCCTGAAATCAAGCAAAAAAATTTCAGCTACAGCTTCTTCAGGTTTATCTCTTAATTTATATTTAGTGAGTAAGGTCAATAAAATTGTTAAAATACAGATAATTCAGTTATCTATTAATTTAGCCTGTTAAAAGGAGGATTGAGACACAAGGGGTTATGTGCCCACACATGCATGATTTATGTATGAAGCATATAATGCCTATATTGCAAAGATAATAAAATGATACTCAAGTTTGTTAGAATATTGGCCTTATTTTACAACATAACAGCTTGGAAAGTAACAAAATACAAGCAAATAAAAAGAACTACCCCTAGAACCACTCCCCTATACACAACCTACCTAAAGTCTTCGTGTTTGCTAGGAGAGCTTCCTCATACGACAGTATATAGTAGAGCACCAAGAGCTGTGCTGTGATACTGAAATGCTGATTAAGGCGGATATTGTCACCCTGGTGGTAATATTACAAACGTTTTAGAATAATGTTAAATTTCATGAGTGAATTTTTTTTATAGTAAAAGGATCAAAACAGATCATTCAGTGTTGCTGCTCCCAAGCTCAGATAAAATGGGGAGAAATGTTGCTGTGTTCACATTAAACTCAAAGAGACAGTTGAAGTTCAAATGAAACTTGAGATGATATTGGAGATGACGTGTTTAAGTATTATTCGAGATAGGACAAAAAAAGCCTTCATCTACTACTTAGCAGCAAACCCACCAGGCTGCTTCTGAAAGATTTACAGGAGTCTCAAGTATTATCTGAAATTATCACGAAGAAAGTAACTCCTAAAAAAGATAGTGTATATTTATCTATATTTGTGAAAAATGCAACTGTTTTTCCCTTCTGACAAAATGGGGGAAAAGATTTTCATCAAATTCTTCAAAAATGAACCTAGGCTGCGGTCCCCAACCCCTGGCCACAGCCCAGTACCAGTCCGTGACCTGTTAGGAAATGGGTTCCACATCCTCACCTTAGCTCCGTAACACCACCCCCAAACCCACAACACCCCACTCCCCACCCCCAGTCTGTGGAAAATTGTCTTCCATGAAACCGGTCCCTGGTACCAAAAAGGTTGGGGACTGCTGAACCTAGCTATGTCTTAGATTCCTGGGAAGCTAAACAAAGTTTTGTTGAATATGCTGGAATCTCACACAGTACTTGGTCAAAAACACAATCTCCAGGGCACCCTTTAGACTTTAAAATGAAGTTTTTTAAAATATTCCTCTTGTCCAGGCATGGTGGCTCACACCTGTAATTCCAGCACTTTGGGAGGCCGAGGCAGAAGGATTGCTTGAGGCCAGGAGTTCAAGATCAGCCTGAGCAAGAGCAAGACCCCGCCTCTACAAAAAATAAAACACCTGGCCAGGTGTGGCAGTGCATGCCGATAGTCCCAGCTACTGAGGAGGCTGAGGCAGGAGGATCGCTTGAGCCCAGGAGCTTGAGATTGGAGTGAGCTATAATGACACCGCTGTACTCTAGCCTGGGTCACAGAGTGAGACTCTGTCTCAAAAAAAAAAAATTCCTCTACGAGTACCTATTTGACAAACTACTTGGAATTTAATGACGATTCTTTTAATTTTTACAGGTAATCTAAGGAAATTTAATCTCATTTAAAATTCAGAACCACCTAGAAGTCCTCTGATAGGAAAAAAATATGAAGTAAGTCAGAAGATAAACTAAAGTACAAAAGAACCACTATTTTACCCCAATGACTCCTTGGAAAATATTGAGTATCTCCTGTTCTGTGACTGGCTGATTTGTGGCCTCTGGATTAGATTTAGATGCAGGAGTGAGTATAGAATTTATGTACACATCAATCAGAGGAAGTAGTTGAGGATGGAGTGGAGTGGAGGTTTCACAGAGCTGTCTATAAATCCAGTCCTAAAAAAAAAGGGTTATAGGCACTGAATCAATTACGGCAAAAAGAAAAAGCAAGCAAAATTATAAAAGCACATAGAGTTTTAAATGCTTTATGAATCAATGAAACTCACTATTCACTTTTGCCAGTTCCAAATATATTACCTTATATCATAACTATCTTTGATTTAAAAATATGAACTACCTTTATATCTTAATCAAGAATGTTGAGAATATTATAAAGTATAAAATAAACCTAAAATGATAAGAAGTTTGGCGTTGGGTTTAATATTAGTTTTTAAGGAGTGAGAAAAACATTTTAGGTCCCTACCATATCTGTATTTAGAGCACCATTTGTGTTGTCACGGAGACCTCACAGCAGAGAGGAATTTGGGGAGAGGGATAGTCCTTTGCAACAAACCCTCAGAAAGATGAAGAAAAGTGTCTCTGACGAGCACTTACAGAAGACTATCATTTAACTATCTTTAGATAGATGACATGTAAAAATGCTGGGTATGCATTTGGACTCAATTCTTAGCTATTCTACTTGCTAAAAATATAAAGAAGAAGGAAATGCAACCTAGCTGGAAAATAATTTCACTAAATCATAAAAAACAAGGGACAATTAAAAGTGATATATCATGCATGTATTATTCACTGCTCTTTGTAAATAAAGGAGCCTCTATAGAAAAGGTTCAAACAGATTTCTTTACCTCCTGGGTTTCAGCCTTTTCTTTAGAGGACCTTTTAACTGTTCCATATAGCCAACTATAACAAATCAAAAACATATCAAAATATGTGTAAGTTAGATATTAGGTGTCCTTACAACAAATCTACAAATGCTAGTCATAGTTGACCAGCAAATTTCCCAATTTGGTGAACAAAACCAGAATTTAGAAAATGGCAATTTCTAAGTTTTAATGAAACAGCATGTGCTATTTTTGAGAATGTAAATGGATTAGTAATTTTATACATTTTTTAAATAAGTTACGTTGTTTTAAAAATCTGAAATTAGGTTCTAATTACTATAATTATATAAATGCCTAGTAACTTAGCTTAATACCACATATTTTATACACAAAACTCACAGTAAAGACCTACACACTAAAATAGAAGAGGAAAAAAAGCATTATTGCTCTTTGAAATATAAATGTAAGGTCGTACTTTAATTGATACTTTGTGCTTGGTAAAGGAACGGCTCCTGAGAAGCTGGTAAATACAATGAATAGGCAGAAACCCAGTAATGTTGGCACTCAGGTTGCTGGTGACAGGGACTCGAACTGCATGAGCTGTGACAACCTAAGAGGAAAATATAGTATTAATATATGTAGGATAGAATCAAATACAAAATTATTTTGAAAGAAAGAGGATTAGTAGGTAAACTATAAATGCTTAATATGTGTCATCCCTAAAAATGAATGATGAATATCAATTATTACATGTTTTAATTATTTTCAAATGATGAGGATGCATACAATTATGGATTTATAAAATTCTCTAAATTTTTATTAATTTTTAAACATATATGTACATGGAGGTATGATAAGTAAAAAAATATAAAATTTGGAATCACACAGTCTTGGGCTCAGTGGCTTTGGAGAAGTCACTTTATCTTCTGAATCTATTTTCACATCTACAAAATGGAAGAATGCTGCCTTACCTGCCTCAAAGGGTTGTTGTGAGGGAGGAAAAAAGAACTTTTTAGGAAAAATATTATGTGAATTATAAAGTACCACACAAATATAAATAGGAATTTTTATTTGTATTGTGTCATACATAGATCTCTAATCGTCTTTCAAAGACCCTCCTTAAAGTTGTCTTCTAGCTGGTTCAAATTTAAAGATCAAAAAAAACTTACGATGTTCCTATGTCCTATATGTGACTGTTCTGTAGAGGTATACGTGTGTATGTGTGTTGGGAGGTAAAGGGAGTATATAGTATAAGGATAAGGATATTAAATACCATAAAAGAAGCAACAATAATGAACCCATGAATATTTTCTCAAATACTTCATTTTTAAAGACACATATATTTTTATGTTTTAAGATTTAAATTGACAAGTGAATCTTGGAATTAATTTTAAATTTTAGAATACACTCCTTCACTGAGAAATAAAATATCCTTAGGCTTACCCATGGACAAAAGTGCTGAGGCCAAATAAGAATATGTGAATATAACAATAAGGAATTTAGAATCCAGCCTGTAATCTAGTTAGAAAGGAACCTTATAGACTAAAGGTTTAAACAGGTCTTTATTTTTCTCCTGACAAACCCAAATGATTACCCCTTGTGAGTAGCCTACCATCAATATCTAAGACTATGCTCATAAGTATCTCCTCAAAGTGTCCACAAATATATAAATTTAAAACATGCTTTCTTATGTAATTAGTAGCTTTAAAAATGTATTTTAAATGGATTATTCTTTACAGACGTTTCAAAGATGAAATAAATCATCATTAGAAATTGAAAAGGAATGGAGAAAGACCATCTTATTCTCTTAAGGTGAGATACACAAGTTTTCTCCCAAAGATAAGTTCTTAAAGAAAGTTAAATAGATACCTAAGAATAAAAAAAAGTACCTGCTCAGTAAAAATTTCCTGTGTGAAGATGGTCTTCATCCTGCTCAAGGAGCTTGGCTTAATTACAATCTAAAATAACCAAAAGAATTCCAACAGCATATAAAAATATAATATATGAAACACAACTCTGGTGATTTATGTATTAATAAAATGCCTGTGATATATAATATTAATGTTCAAATGTTCAAGTACTATAGTCTGTTTCAGAAGTGGCTTCTCAAATCCAACATTAAAGTGTGTTTTTCCTCAGAAACAGAACCAATATAAAAAGTACTTAGTAAATAATATTTTTATTTTTATTTATTTTTTTTCTTGAGACAGGGTCTCACTCTGTCGCCAAGGGTAGAGTGCCGTGGCGTCATTATAGCTCACTGCAACTTCAAACTCCTGGGCTCAAGCAATTCTCCTGCTTTAGCCTCTGGAATACATGGGACTACAGGTGCACGCCACCAGGCCTGGGTGATTTTTCTATTTTTTATAGACATGGGTTCTCAGTCTTGCTCAGGCTGGTCTCGAACTCCTGACCTCAAGCGATCTGCCTGCCTCAGCCTCCCAAAGTGCTAGGATTACAGAAGTGATCCACTGTGCCTGGCATAATGGCAAATCTTTTATGCCTTTTAAATCAGTGATAGGAAAAATAAATAAAAATCCCTACAGAAAAATTAGGATTCTGATAAGCTTTTCACAAAAGAAATCAATCAGCCAAAACACATGGATTTCTTTTTTTTTTTTTTGAGACGGAGTCTTGCTCTGTTGCCCTGGCTAGAGTGCCGTGGCACCACCTAGCTCACAGCAACCTCAAACTCCCAGGCTCAAGTGATCTTTCTGCCTCAGCCTCCCAAGTAGCTGGGACTACAGACTTATGCCACCACACCCAGCTAACTTTTTCTATTTTTAGTTGCCCAGCTAATTTCTTTTTATTTTTAGTAGAGACGGGGTCTCACTCTTGCTGAGGCTGGGCTCAAACTCCTGACCTCAAGCGATTCTCCCACCTCGGCTCCCACAGTGCTAGGATTACAGGCATGAGCCACCACGCCTGGCCAACACATTTTAAAAACGAAAATTTTGGCTAGGTGCATTCACGCATGCCTATAATCCCAGCACTTTGAGAGGCCAAGACAGAAGGATTGCCTGAGGCCAGGAGTTCAAGACCAGCCTGAGCAACATAGCAAGACCCTATCTCTACAAGAAAAATAGAAAAATTAGCCTGGCATGGTGGCATACACGTCTATAGTCCCAGCTACTTGGAAGGCTGAGGGGCAGGATTGCTTGAGCCTAGGAATTTGGGGTTGCAGTGAGCTATGATGATGCCACTGCACTCCTGCCCAGGCAACAGAGCAAGACCCTGTCTCAAAAAGAAAGAAAAATAAAAACAACTATACTAATAATCGAAGAAATGCAAAATAAATGAGACCGTTCTTCATCAATCAAATTTGCAAAGATTAAAAAGAATGGTAATGTTCAATGATATCTAGAGTTTAGGAAAATAGTTCTCATTCACTAATGAGAACAGTTAAACTGCTATAATCTTTCTGAAAGATCATCTGGTAATACTAATAAAACACCTTAAGATGACCTTAAGATAGTCATATTCTTTTAATTAGTAATTACCTTCTAGAACTTTATCCTAAGGAAATAATCTGACAAGTGTCTGAAGATATAGATACGTGCATGCCTGTGTGTATATATATACATAAACGAGGATATTCACCTAAGCATTATACAGAAATTGGAAAATCTACATGGGAAATAATAAAGAATCTATTAAGAAGATCATGATCAGTCCAAATGGTGGACTACTATGAAGCTATTTAAAAATTATACTGTATTAGAATATTTATTGATATGAGAAACTGTTACCTATATATTAGCAAGTTTTTTTAAATTACAAAATATGCATGCCATTCTAAAGGAACAGACACCAGAATGTTAACAGTAGTATACTAGATATCTCTGAATGATAGAATTATAAGATATTTTTCCCTTTTCTGTGCTTTCCAAGCTCTCTGCACTGAATATCTATTACCCTTATAAACAAATGTTTTTAAAATGCATTTAAGTGCTCCTGATAAAACTTCAAACTATTCAACTAAAATTACTTAAATAAACAACAATCTATTGAATTTATACTATAACAAAATTCCCAGCTTAGAAACACCTTCTTTCAGAAAGAAGTTAAAAGAAAATTACCTTCATCCCCAAAGTGGAACAGACCAAGTCAATGATAGCACTGAGTTGGTTGCTGTGAAAGTACATAGCCACCAATAATAGCATCTCCCCAAAAGAGGCAGAGACACCTGAAGTACTGTTGAAACAAAAAAGAAAATATGAAATTCCAAAGAGAGAATAAAAAAAGCTTTTTCAACTAACTGAAACAAATCAAGTCATCTTACCTCTCAAAATAGGCTTCTTCTTTTATCATCCAACTTAGCCACACCACCATTAGCTGCTCCTGTTCAGGTGTACTATATAAAACATACCAGAATGTCACTGATTTAAATTAAATATACTAGCATATGAATAAGAAAACACTCTGAAATTATTTTTGGTAGAAATTATTTTTCCTTCCCTATTTTGAAATATCTTGCAACTCTAATTAATGACTTGCTGAACTGGGCCATTAACTGCCATTGAGATATGAAGCAGTTCTACGGCTCAAGAATGAAGAAATTTGCTTTTCTTCATGAATCCGAATAGTCAAACTCTCTCAAGGTCTTAGTTATTGCATTTACAGGTTGGAGACAGTACACTTCCTCACGTTTCTCAGAAAACCAAAAGCCTTTTGGGATTAAAATGTTAAAAGAACTGTATTAGTGGCCCCCAACCTTTTTGGCACCAGGGATCCGTTCCATGGAAGACAATTTTTCCGCAGAGGCAGGGAGGGGGGTTTGAGGATGATTCGAGTGCATTACATTTATTGTGCAGTCAAACCTCTCTGCTAATGATAATTTGTGTTTGAAGCCACTCCCCAGCACAAGCATCACCATCTCAGCTCCACCTCAGATCACCAGGTTAGATTCTCATGAGGAGCGTGCAACCTAGATCTCTCGCATGCACAGTTTACAATTCGGCTCTCACTCCTATGAGAATCTAATGCCGCCACTGATCTGACAGGAGCTTATGCGGTGATGTGAGCGATGGGGAGCAGCTATAAATACAGATGAAGCTGCACTGGCTCACCTCTCCTGCGGTGCAGCCTGGTTCCTAAGAAGCCACAGACTGGTACCAGTCTACAGCCTGGGGGCTGGGGACCGCAGAACTATATAACAACTGATACTTATTTTACACAGAAAAAAACTAGTATTAAAATTTAAGCATCAAAAAGCCAAAAACTGAGTACTAGACAGTAACAAGTTAGTCCATCTTTTACCTGAAAAATGAAGTCTAATTTATAGAAAACTTTTGAGTAGAACTCAAAATTATAGAGAAATAAATTATCACTACTCATACAAAGAAAAAGAACAGCCATGGGCTCACCAGATATCAAAAATGGTTATAAAAATATAATAATAACAATGATTTTTTAAAGAGAATTCCTAGATTTTAGATTGAAAGGTATAAACTGACTTTGACTTGTGAAAACAATTTTCACTGATCTCTTTCCACTTCACTGCAATGAACACAGGTAAAACAGAAAGCAACTGAAAAGTGCACTTCTCCTAATACCCTAAGCTAAGAAAATTTAAAAGGTCATTTTCAACCATACCTAGACTTTTATTCAATGAATAGAAGACAGTGTTACATAGTAAAAAGATTATAGCCTATAGAGCCTGCCAGGCCTGAGTGGGACTCCCATCTCCACTAATTTCAGGTAGTGTGATCTTCAACAAGAAACTTAATCCGGTCGGGCGCGGTGGCTCACGCCTGTAATCCTAGCACTCTGGGAGGCCGAGGCGGGCGGATTGTTTGAGCTCAGGAGTTCGAGACCAGCCTGAGCGACAGCAAGACCCTGTCTCTACCAAAAATAGAAAGAAATTAATCAGACAACTAAAAATATATAGAAAAAATTAGCCGGGCATGGTGGCGCATGCCTGTAGTCCCAGCTACTCGGGAGGCTGAGGCAGAAGGATTGCTTGAGCCCAGGAGTTTGAGGTTGCTGTGAGCTAGGCTGACGGCATGGCACTCACCCTAGCCCGGGCAATAAAGTGAGACTCTGTCACAAAAAAAAAAAAAGAAACTTAATCCTTCTAAACTTTAGTTCTCCTACCTATAAAATATGGACAAAAATACCCAGCTTATAGAAATAATTTGAGATAATGTTTAGAAAGTACTTCAGGTAAAGAGAAAAGAAAGCGCTTCCTGTATCTAATTTTGCACTCTCCTATAATCCCACTAAAACTATATTAAAGGGATTTTCAAGGCATAAATGCATAGGATATTGAGGAGGGACACCACCACAAAATACTGCAAGTTAGAGAACGTACAGATGAGTGGCAACTGACTGAGCAGACCTGAGGAAGCAGAATACTAAACTGGCAGAAGGGAAAACCAATCCGTTTTATACCACAGACTTCCCAAAGGGCTCACGAACAGACAGCTCCAGGCAGTTCCAGAGGGAGAGTGAAGACAAAGACTAAAATAAAAGGTTGACAGTCTATGTAAGAATTGATAGTAGACCTCCAAATCACCCCCTTCATTCTACACAACTAGATGACTAGCACTTCCTCAGTAGAGAGAAGATTGGAGATTTATTCTCTGAAGATGGTAAAACAGTACATCTGAATTAAGGGACAACCAGGTATATCTGGAGCACCATTCTGAAAGCAGGAGAATTCAGTCAGTGACCGCACTACAGGTTGAGATCTACCAGCCCTTAACTCACACTTTTTAACTTTGTTTAAGGGTTTCTAGACAGGTCTTCACTTTCCAGGTAAGACTATATTCTTCTCTAGAACTCTGATAAACCCAAGAGTTTCCCAAAGACCCAACTATGCATTTAGAAGTTCTAATATGCTTTTTGGTTTCCTATTCTTAAATATGAACAATCAAGAAATATTAAACACCTGAGAAAAGCCTCTTTAAAAATAGAGACCAAAAAAAGGCCAAAGAAAGGCAATACAAATAAAATCCCTTCAAAATCATTATGATTAACATCAAAGAAATCATGTCACTACGAAGCAACAGACACTATAAAGAAGAAACATCGGAGAATAAAAAAAATCTCTTAGAAATTAAACACTGAATAGGATTTGAAGACAAAGTTAAGGACAAATCCTAAAAGGTAGAATAAGCAGTTGCTCTCTGGAGTGATGAAAATGTTCTATAATTAGATTATGCTGATGGCTGTATAACTCTGTAAATATACTAAAAACCATTGAATTGTATACTTTAAATGGGTAAATTTTATGGTATATAAATTATATCTCAATAAAGCTGTTTATAAAAAATAGAACAAAGCAAAGGTAAAGAAGAAAGGATAAGAAAAGATGATCATTTCAAAAAGTCCAATTCCAAATAAAAGGAAATTTTAAATACAAAACAATCAAGGGGAAGACATTACCAACAAATTAATTCAAGAAAATTTCCTAGAAGTGAAGGACATATTAGTTCCCAGGTTAAAGGGGCTTACCAAATACCTGAGACAATAGACAACAACAGACTCAGCGTAAGGCACATCATCCAGAAATCTCAAAACGCTAGGGACAAAAGCTAATCCTGCCAGTTTCCATATTGAAAAAGAATAGGACACAAAAAGGACCAGGAGTCACAATGTCAGACTTCTCTACAACACTGGAAGTTAGAAGACAATGTAGCAACACCTTCAAAATTCTCAAAGGAAATTACAGACAACTTAGAATTCTATACTCCATCAACTATCAATCAAATGTCAGAGTAGAATAAAGACATTTTCAGAAATACCCACTCTCAAAAGAATTTACCTCACACATACCCATTCTAAAGAAGCAAAATGAGAGCAAATGAAAAAAGATGAAGACATGAGATACAGGAAACAGGCCAACAAAGGAGAGGTGAAGTACATCCCCAAAATGATGGTGAAGAGCCAGGATGAGAGCTGTGTACCACCGTGTATGACCAGTAACCACTCCAGACTAGAGCAGTTCAAAACGCTACAGGTGACATTTCCTTGGGAAGATGAAATGTCACCTAATGATTCAGAACATCGTTCTTTTTTTTTTTTTTTTTTCACCAGTTTCTCTGGCTAAATATCTAGGGTCTCTCAAATGGCAGCAGTGTCAACATTCTCCTAGTCAGCTATTTCTTCAATTTATGTTTGGTTCAAATGTCATTTTCAGCATTACCACTCTTTGTTTCTTTGCTATACTTTTGGCTTCAGTGGCCAATTTCCTCTTTCAATTACTCATTTTTGTAAAATGTTTTTTAGTAGAGACGGGGTCTCGCTCTTGCTCAGGCTGGTTTTGAACTCCTGAGCTCAAACAATCCCGCCTCGGCCTCCCAGAGAGCTAGGATTACAGGTGTGAGCCACCGCGCCCAGCCTAATGTGAGGATTTTTGACAGCATCATATCCTCTGGGACATCTTCAATCTTTTGTCACAATCACTTTTTTCATTTATGTCAACAAATTCACCTTCACCAGTTTCTCTGGCTAAATATCTAGGGTCTCTCAAATGGCAGCAGTGTCAACATTCTCCTAGTCAGCTATTTCTTCAATTTATGTTTGGTTCAAATGTCATTTTCAGCATTACCACTCTTTGTTTCTTTGCTATACTTTTGGCTTCAGTGGCCAATTTCCTCTTTCAATTACTCATTTTTGTAAAATGTTACATGGGTTTGTCACTGAGAGAAAAGGAGGCAACACAGGTTGAATATTCCCAATGTGAAAATCCAAACCCTGAAATGCTCCAAAATCTGCAACTCAGTCAACACAATACTCAAAGGAAATGCTCATTAGAGCATTATAGAGTCCAGATTTCCAGATTAGGGATGCTCAACCTGTAAATATAACACAAATATTCCAAAATCTGAAAAAATCCAAAATCCAAAACACTCCTGGACCTAAACATTTTGGATAAGGGATACTTAGACTGCACAACTACCTACTTTGCTGTGAATGAATCGAATAACAGATGTACAGTGACCAATCATCAGCAGACTTTAAAAGAAGTGACGTCCATGGTCACTGATCGTGACATGCATCTGTTATTTACATAGTAATATGTGGTTTGAAGACCTCACAGCAGAGTTTGTACTTTATACAGTTATTTGGTTAATGTATCATGGCAACTGAAATTTGAACCATATTGAGGGATCAGTGTTATTTAAATTGTGGTAACTGAAATTCATGCATATCAGAGATTTGCAAAGTGAGGACTGTACAACATTACTCAAAAGGATGTTGTTTAGTGACTAAACAAGAAACACTGTGCTTAATAATCACATCATTATCAATTTTAGACAATTTATGATCTCAGCTTATCAAAGGAAACACAGGAAAGATTTATATCGAATAGCTGAACGGGCCAAGTAAAGGATCACTCACAGATCATTCACTATAGTTTCGTCAAACTGTAGTGAAATCATTGGTTTCTTTACACAATGATTAGAAATTGAAAAAGCACTCTGGCTCCTCCCATATTTACATAATTCTATTTATAATCAGAAAAAAATAGATGAATACATCCCTCCTACAAACGCTTGGCCTTAGGACTTCATTCTTGCTATAGGCCAGCCCACTACCTGAGCCCAACAGAAAACCTCAATCCTCTGAATAAAAGCCCTCTGGCTCACTTTCTTGGGATAGAAACAAGAAAGTAAAATGACAAAAGGTAAAATATCAAACTATTGAATACTTGAGTCCAGCGATCCCCATCAAAGCACAGTACAGACGTAAGAGTGCACTGGCTTTCACAACATGCTCTTCTTTCAGCCCCGAATACACAGACACATTGGGTTCCACGTCCACATCAGCTTCTTCCACAATTCGGGTACTTCTTACTGTGGGAAGAATGCCCATCAATTCCAGAAGAAGCTGCCTTCTCATTTGCCAAAGGACAGAACTGCTGGTCTCTCTTTTCCTCTGTAAGAAATATGAATCACAAAAGAAAGCATGAAGCATTTACTAAATTAAAAGGGAGCTCAACCACAGCTCCCCATTTAAACCCTTGAAATTTACCTATTTGAGGAGGTTTTCATGACTATACAATCTCATTTTAACCAATCAAGCAAACTCAAAATCCACTGGTTTGTCTGAAGAATACTGACCCTAATTTGTATTAGTTGCAGAGAAAAGACTAAATTAATGAAAACTTGAATTGTAGATTGTTTAAATGGTACTTCTAAATACATAAAATCCAACAGAATGATATGTGGTATAGAAGAAATTGCTCAGATTTTAGAGACAGAAGATCTTGGGTTTATACTCCAGCTGTATTAGATGATTAGGTACATTTAGGTACATTAGTTAATCTCTCTGAACCCCAATTTCCTTAATGACAAGGAAATAAATATTTTATTAATATTTGAGATGGGAGGACCACTGGAGGCCATAAGTTCGAGACCAGCCTGGGCAACACAGCAAGACCGTGTCTCAAAAATAACAAAAAGGATGATAATAATATTTGCCTTATAGAACTCTTATAATTAAGAGTTTACAAGTCTATAACCCCCAAAGTTCTTCAGGCAGGGATAATGTCTTAGTCTTTTCTCACTCAACAGAGCCTAACATTGTGCCTGACATACAGCAAGTATTCAATGTCTAAGTAGACAAATGAATGAACAAAGATAATACATATGAAAGCAGTTCTAAACTATAAAGGGCTAAGTAAATGTTAGTTAATTCTCATCTTTAGAGTGTTTACAAGTCAAATATGATAAACCTGCTTCAATAATAACAGTAAGTTCAAAGAAAAAGTTTACTGCATACAAAAGACAATTAGAAACAAGATGAGTATGCAAGTGTTTAGCACAGTGCCTAAAATATATAAAGCATACAAAAAATGTTAACTTCCTTTTAAAAAGCAAAGCGTGGCCGGGCATGGTGGCTTACACCTGTAATCCTAACACTTTGGGAAGCCAAGGCAGGAGGATCACTTAAGGCCAGGACTTCAAGACCAGCCTGGGCAACATAGAGAGACTCCGTCTCTACAAAAACCAAAAAATAAATGAGCTTGGCGTGGTAGTGCACTCCAGTAGTCCCACCTACTCGAGAGGCTGAGGAGAATCACTTGAGCCCAGGAGTTGGAGGTTGCAGTGAGCTATAATCACACCATTGCATTCTAGGCAGGGCAACAGAGCAAGACCCTGTCTCACAAAAAAAAAAAAAAAGGAAAAGAAAAGCTTAAAATTGGTTTTCAAATGGGCTATAAATAAAGTAGAATTTGGATATTAAAAAATATGGCAACTCAGTAGTGTAAAAAACAGATTAGAGGACCTAAACAGTACACGTGCTACCTAGCGAATGACCTGAACAAGTTAAAACACAATCTGCATTAGTTTCTTCATAAGAACTCTATTCACTTGCTTTAAAATACTACTAGAAAAAAAAAAAAAAGAACTCTATTCACAAAGTTACCAAAAAAATTTTTTTGAAAATTAAAATATTTTGCAAGTTAAAAAATATTGCAGGCCAGGCGCGGTGGCTCACACCTGTAATCCTAGCTCTCTGGGAGGCCGAGGCGGGTGGATTGTTTGAGCTCAGGAGTTCAAAACCAGCCTGAGCAAGAGCGAGACCCCGTCTCTACTAAAATTAGAAAGAAATTAATCGGACAACTAAAAATATGTAGAAAAAATTAGCCGGGCATGGTGGCGCATGCCTGTAGTCCCAGCTACTCGGGAGGCTGAGGCAGGAGGATCTCTTGAGCCCAGGAGTTTGAGGTTGCTGTGAGCTAGGCTGACGCCACGACACTCTAACCCAGGCAACAGAGTGAGACTCTGTCTCAAAAAAAAAAAAAAGAAATGGGATTTTGCTGTGTTGCCCATGCTGGTCTTGCATGCCTGTAGTCCCAGCTACCTGGGAGGCTGAGGCAGGAGGATCGCTTGAGCCCAGGAGTTTGAGGTTGCTGTGAGCTAGGCTGACGCCACGACACTCTAACCCGGGCAACAGAGTGAGACTCTGTCTCAAAAAAAAAAATTGGCAGGGAAGAAAGTAACCAATCCACTACCACATCATTGAACTTCCAGTAGTGCTTACATAATCATAGTATTAATATAAACAGCTATTTACTCACCTAATGAAAATTATTATAACTACGCTAGGAGAATGGGAAGATAGAAAGGATATGTAGATGTGTTTAGGACAGACAGAAAGAAGAAAGAACTAATTTCTAATCTTTCTTAGTAGGAACTCAATAAATAATACCTACAAACAAAAGCTCAAGATATATCAAATACAAGCATGCTATTAAAGATACAGTAGCAACAGCCAAAAGAATCAGCAAAAAGAACTAGACACTGCCACTAGGAAAGAAGAAATAAAGAGGGAAGGAAGGACTGCTATCTGCCTTAACAAATTTTGAAGAACTATTTTGACTCTTTTAAACAATGTACATATGAAACTTTGATAAATGTTTGATAAAATAAGATAAATGACATACAGTAGATGCTACTGACATGTTTTTATTAAAAAATACTATGACCATACCTAGGTCAATTTCTGTAGTAAGCTCTGAATCCAATGTTATACATGTATTTTAATAAGTAAATAAAGCAGACCTTAAGAAAATAGAGCAATTTATACAGGTAGGTACCTGACAAGTGTAGAAAAGGCCAGTAGCATACAAAAGGAAAGTGAAACAAAGCGAACGCCAGCTGGTGTAGCAGGAGGACGGCTTGTCATCAACTGTAGTAACTGTTCAGCTTCTTCTTCAGTTGGTCTAAAAAAGAATACATTATTAGGCTTTACTTTTTTAAATTGGGGGAAGGAGTAAGAAAAAGCAAATTTTTAACCTTTTAGATACGAATTTTGAACTTTATAATGATATCTCACTATTTATAAAATCTTTAACATCTTATCAAAAGTAAAACTGTTGAAAGATCACAACTACAGTGTTTTTCCTCAGACATAAATACAGACAGTATTTTATCCTGTATTTGTATTCTCACTTTGTTCCGCAGTGTGAGACCACAGAAATGACCATGCAAGCTGAAACCATGCAACATGAAGTTAATCGATGGTGAAAATCATGATTATATTGTGACCTTTAAAATTTTTTGTCAAAACTTTAAAAATTCTATTGGTTATAATACATAGGGAAATTTTTTAAAAAACAGTAAAACTAGCATTTTATAGTACTCTAATTGAAAACATTAGAAACATTAAGATTTAAAGTGTTTTACTTCTTTATAAAAACTTTATCAGAGTAGCTTGAACAGCTTTTGCCATCTTGTTTTCATTGTATAACGTATAATATGGAGCATCTTTTCTATACCTTGGTGAAGTATCAAACTGCCTAAGTTTGGATTGGCTTCCAACATTTTATCGTTTGCACTTTCAGTCAAGAAAGTTCCATTAATGTGAGGATTTTTTTTTTTTTTTT